GAAAATTTTTGGTTTAGTTCGGTTCTCTTTAAAATGAACGAACCAACTCTCGCCCAAGCATAATCACAGTAAGTACAATTCAGTTATATATTCTTTTATCTTGATATAAAATGGACACTACTAATAACAATATGTTTACTTCTCATTCTTTTGTAGCTTATTGTAATGGGAAGTCGATTGGTCAGCGGCTGAGCCATTAACATTATCCTTTTGTGAGAAAAAATTGAAAATGAATAGATTATTCTAACAACAATTTAGGAATATCAAAAAATTATGATGATACATGATTGTGACATAGACTCATAATAGAGGCACAACAAATTAAAATACAAATTATGTTTACATAATTTCCAATGCTAATGTATAATCTAATGTAATAACAATCTTTCTTATTTCGTGGTAGGCTGGTTGGCCGTGGCTGTACATCGTTCGAAAGGCAATTTTCCATCTCATGCTTCATATAATGAAAAAAATATAATAGTCCCAAGATTATCATTACATAAAATGGTATATAGTCGTGTTCATTTGTTTATTTATATTACAAAAGAATATTTTAAAATTACAATTTTTTCATAGCATTTAGTGGTTTGTTGAATTCTTCCATGATATTTTGTAGGCTTGGATGAAGTCAACAGTAAAGCCCTAACAATTTCAAAGGCTCGTATTGATGAAACTAGGATTAAGTATCACAGGGACCATCTCGCATACCTAAGAAAGGCAATAGAGTAAGTCATCATTTGTTTTACACATATGGTAGTTCAATTTGAAATAAAACTGCATGTTTTGAAATTAATCGATTAATTTTCCTTCATTCTCAGTCATGGTGTACGTGTGAAGGGTTACTTCGTATGGTCATTGCTTGATAATTTTGAATGGGCCCAAGGGTACAAATACAATGTTAGATTTGGCATTTTTTTATGTAGACTTCCTGAATGGACGTTTGACTAAATGATTAAAGCTACATGTATATGGTACAGCTTCATAGGGGCCTCACATGCCCCTCACTATTTGGGGGCAGGCCTCCCATGTATTAAAAAGATTGTGAGGCCTACTGATTCAAACCCGTGAGCAACGAACACTCATGAACCCACAACAAGATTGCCATAGTTTCCAAGAGTGCCAATGAATCGATGGTTTTGGATTTAACCCCCAAACAATGACTCAAACAACCATTAATATATTAAATTAACGACTTTTGAATACACAGTTTAAGAATCTCACCCGGATTTGTTGAATGCCATGAGAAAATCATCCCGATAAGTTCGACAATGGTTGAAGCATCAAGCCTCTAAAGAGAGAATTCTCTAATTTTTAATTCATCATAAACTTCCAATACAGTAATGAAAATAATTTCCTATTTATACTAAAACCCTAAAAATAATAAAAATGAAATAAAAATATTAAAATCCTATTTTAAAAAGGAAAAACAACCCTAAAATAATGAAGAAAACGTGAAAAGATTGGACTCCAAGAGAAAAAGAAAACTACCGTGATGCTCTGGAATTTCTGGAAATTTTCCCTGCCAGAAAAGCTACGACCACATTGCTGTTTCCTATGCGGTCGCATGGAATACTTGGCGACCTGGTCTCAAATCCCTGTGATGGTTCATGCGGCCGCATGGGTGGTTCAACCTTGCGGTCGCATAGTTGTAGTTCACAGCCATTCAACCATTGTTTTGCAACCAATCTGTGCCAATTATTTTGGCATTCATTTTTTCGGCTTGTAACTTGATTGCTCAATCTATCTCAATATTAATCTTGGACGTTGGCTTGTGATTTTCATCCCCAACTTTTGACTTAGCCCGTTAATTCCAATATTTAGCGCTTCATAATTTCGATCAAATAATCTTCCAGCTTTATCACCTTCTTTTGGCCTCCAATTTAGTTCAAACATTAGGCTTGTTTCCACCTTGATCTTCCTTC